GGCATGTATAGTGCCCAGCATGAAAGTTACAGGCTTTATGTACCCTGTGTCAATACCCCTTTCACATGCATCTGCTGCCTTCTAGTGCCATTCTGTAGTGATGTGTTACAACTACATTCCTTCAGGGCATGATCGATTCTTACTGTTGTTCCCGCAAAAAGGCAACATGAAAATTTGTGTTTCACTCATTATATATAATCAAGGAGGTTGATCAAGGAGCTCCTTGGTATGATATAAGTTCCTTGATAATAGTAGTCACCATCAATTCAGTCTGTAGTCACTACAAAGTTTTTTCGTGGGAAAAATCATCAACACACTTGAGCCCAAAAAGTTTTAAGTCGACTCTGTGATAAGAAATTATCAACTAAAAATTGGTAACTGATTGATTGATTAATTAATTAGTTGGTTGATTGATTGATTGCTGTAATGTATAAAGAATTAATATACTGTATACCATAGTTATGAGTCATTTTTTGTTCTACTGTGATGTGACTTGACGGAAAACAGTATATGATTAACTTTAGCCCTTACAGTGGCTGTAAGAGTGATGCAGTGGCAGTGATGACAGCAAAAGCCATTATTAGCCACCCTGGAGGTACACACTAAATAAATAATGTGTCTTGGGATGACAGCCTCCGCATGAGTTATGTCTGGCAATATCCTTTTTGAGAAAAAAAAGATTCATTGTTATTTTGGTCCATTCCATCAAATTCCATGGAACTAGTCAACTCGGCATTTCAAACAGGTTATTTTTAGTGCAGACTGTAAAGAACAAGAGAGAGTGTTTGAGGGAGTGTGCAAACATTTCTTTTTTTTGCTGTTGAGAATACTAGAGGGCTTTTACAACTACCACTTTAGGTCCTTCGTACGTGCTCCAAATCCTATATACACAAGGTCACGTACACTTGGACCAGGTTAGAATGGTACTGGTTTGAACTTTCATCAGCTATATGCATTGAGACTTTGAACTTGAGCTTATGAATCATTTTATTCTGCCTCCTCCCATCCAACCAAGAGATGCTACCTTTCATCAGAATGATTTTCACAGCAGGCATAGCTAGATCTAAAATCAGAATGTATCCCCAAAGGATTTCAGCACTGCTCATTAAACTGGCGCACCCCTAGATTTCGCGCATCTAAAATCACACACAAATTCCCAGCAATCAGCATTTGGGTTTCAAGGACAGCTGTGAAACTCATTAGTGGTATTTGGTAACCAAAGTTTGCAGGAAAAGTATCTGCATGTTTGCTGCGGATTAGGAGTGGAGCATGAAACTGGCCCTGTGTGTTTACCTCCTGCTGGGAGGGTTTTCTAAATGGGGCAAAGCACACAGGGGGGTGGGGATAAAAAGGTAGTGGTGAGCTCTTCTTGGGTTGCTTCTCTTTTGCAATGGGGAATCAGTGCAGAACCTATATTATAACTTTGTCCATGGCCCAATATGATGCAATTTTTGATTTGGTAAAATCTGATAAAAGATTTGGAAAGATCTTGAGCTGGAAAAAGCTGATGTAGCTTCATCACTGTGTTGGGAGTTTTTTTAGATGTAAAATGTACAGGTATGTTATTTTAGACAAGCACTTGCTAAGCTGCTTTTCTCAGACCCTGATGATATCAAAAGCCTGGCCGGCCACAGAGCCTGCACTGGAGGTTGAGAACTGACTAGGGTGACTGATGATTAAAAGGCTTTTTGGTACCTAAGGATGTTAGGAGAAATTGGAAGTAAATAGGTCAGTCTTGATGAAGTAGACAGGGCCAACAAAGGCCGCCCTCTGCAGCAATGAGATTGCATTTGAACCGCTGATTGAAGATGAAAACAGGCGTCACTCAAAGGCATGCCTACGTTCCATGTTACTGGGGACACAAATGGAAACACATTGTTAACAGTAGACGCTAAGGAGATCAAGGCATAGCAGAGACATTAAGTCACAGGAGCTCAAGTTTTCAAAGACTCTTGTCTTGATTGGACCAACAGTCAGGTGGTAAATAGACAATCTTTTGACATTTGGAATATTCACCTTTTTGAGAGAAACTGGATCAGAGTTGCAATGCATGGTAACAGGGATTGATCATGAATGGGTATTAGAAGGTCCAATCCCTGCTACACTGCTTATGAAAAACATAGATACCTAAATCAGTGAGGTTAGGTGAGATGCCTATATGATGCCAGGGATGGATGCCAGACTATTCTACTGAGAAGCAGTCAAAGGAGTGGACTTCAGCTAGAATAGGATGGATAGATACCAGGCAAGGAGGAGACATCCCAAGAGAATAGTAATAATGACCAGAAGCATCAACCACAAAATAAACATTTATCTCCGTCATGTTTAGTCTGGTTCCAGTCTGCCCCCCTCTGGTAGAACCAAATAGAAACAGTTCTCCGATCCCCCATGCAGGCCATGTGCAGACTATCAGGCCTGATGTACCTCCATAATTATCCAATATATGGGGATGAGCCTCACACAAAGAGGACAGTGTCCAGAGGAGGACTCCTCTGTGAGTCAGGCCAAAGGTTACACCCCCTATAACTTTTAGTACCAAAGTATGTATGGAATTTGTCATTTGCCATTTGAGTAGATCTAAATTACTTTTGACACATTAAGAAAAACAACATATGTTGATAAGGACCTTGATGGTACAAAAGTAATGGAATCTTTTATGGGTTTAGATGAAAAGTTCAATTTGTTTGGAAGATGAATATACCATTGATGGCATTGCAGTCTGTCTTACCCCACTCACTGTCTCACTGTCCTAGCTTCAAATGTTTGAACTACACTGTATTATAGTGTGACAGCAAGTTTTTTTACATTCTTCAGGGATGTTTCACCTGTCAGAAGAAACAATTCAGCACTAATCCCGACTTTTGAAAATTCGAAACTGATTTGTCCTGTTCAAATATGCACTTTGTACATATGAAGAGTAATCATTTGTCCATATCCCACTACATAATACCATTTGGATGTTTTCAAAGTGCTATAAGTCACCTTTATCCTCTATCAATGTGCTCAGTGTGCTGTATGAACAAATAATCTTGGTGGCGACAGTCCTGTTTATATTGAACCAGCCCAACCAAATCCTTCGCAACTCTTGCATTGCAAATTTTCTGTTGGTATTAGTGGCCAGAACGCACCTGAATTGACAGATCAAGGAAATGCCCTGTTAATCTCTCATTGAAAGACTGGAAAATGCAGAAGCATTTTGGTTTTCTTTGCACAGAGGATTGGAAGGGATTTTGGATTCACAAAGAAAGACAAGAATAAGAAGTTGCAACCTGGGATATTCAGGATTTGTAGTCTGGTAGATACCAAGTAATTCAGAATTGAACCTCCTTGGTTATACCATGGAGTTAAATGGTTATACATGTACCCACTCTCCAAGCAGATCATACGGTAGCAAGGCAGTATCCAGTGGCCAGAGGAGTGTCCATTAGCCACTGGACACTCCTCTGGCCAATGGATACCGCCTTGCCACCATATGATCTGCTTGGAGATTAACATGTACCAGTAACATTGCATAATCATCACTGAATTCATCACCTAATCCTACATCTGCTTGGAGGTTACATGCAAGTTCAACCAATGATGACTACAGTATCACCTTATCACCCACGCCCTATTTGATATGTAAATAATCAGCATCATCCTTGGCAAGATCAAACAAAAACAGGAGGAGGAAGTTAAACCCCCACATCCCCCTGATGTCCTTGTTAAGTAGGTGCTAAGTGGAGACAATCCCCCAGCTGCTTGTGCAGTCATTACCATCAGTAAATATGCAGGTTTCACAGACACACAGGAAAGTGTGGGAGAGCTGAGGCTTCCCATCAGTCATCCCTAAAACAGCACCTCTGCCTGGAAACTGTTCCTTTTGGCAGCATGTCAACAGAAATCCACAGTGGAACCTCCTTGGTGTAACCATACCATTTTGAAGAGTTATGACTTCTCTGGGTGTGATTTCTCAGGCAAGCTGTTATCAACAGATCATCCTAAAGATAATCCTAATCCAGTTGATCACAGCTTAATTAATTACTCCTTGTTATAAGCTACTTGACTTGTTATTAAGCTGACTTGCCATCTACCCATCCTCCCCCATTATATCTGAAGGGGTTGAACCTAAACCAGAATGCTATTATGATAGGTAATGTACAAATTATGGAATGTTACTTCTAAAATAGAATGTATAGTTGGGCCATGCTCACCTGAGGAGTTTGTAGCCATTTTGGAGGCAATTGTGTTTTTTGTGGAGAGAGACCAGCCTAAAGTAAAGGAACATAGACTGTCTTGTTTGGCTTCTTCAAAAATCAAAGCAATGTCGTTTCTACCACAGTTGCCATAGTCTACATCAGTTTATATATATAGTGGTACCCTGCAGCTTTCTACATCCGGACGTTTGGACTTTCAAAACATTTAGTCTCCTCAGAGGTCAAACACAGGGCAGAGAGAAAACCATAAGTCCTCTCCCTATTTCCTGTTGAAAGCTTAGAAAAATATCCTCAGGAGGTGCCCTAATGCCCCCAAGATCCCAGGGAAGATCCCAAGGATTACAGAGATAAAGATAAGAATCCTTGTTTGGAAGTTGGAAGGAAAGTCTAGATCTGCAGTGGCTACTGTTGGGAATTACATGTACATACACTAGGAATAGGACAATTCAAGTTCAAACTGTTTATGATGTTTAGTCGTTCAGAATTATTTTGGTATGTTGCATTAGAAAGAACTGCTCTTTTCCCTTTGGGTCTTATTCACAATGAACGTTTTAAAAGTCTTCTAGCTTCAGGAACTTCAACAACTCCACCCTAAAATGTGTCAATCAGATATTCATGGTACTCTTGATGAGTGTCCTATTGGACCTGGAAATTTATTACTCTCAATTTTTCACACCTTTTGATGTACAATGAAATACCTTGGGGCCTACCTAATCTTACCATTAATGACTTGAAAAGAGACTTGAGGAACTAAGGAA